CAGTAATTCCTCAGCGAGGCAGTCCTGAGTCTAAGCCCAGCTTTCCTCTTTTTAACAATGCGGCTGTGGGCAGTAACTTGACCTAGCTGAGCCTCAGGTTCTCATCTATAAAGTGAGAATAATACTTGCTTCAGAGGAGCGGTGACTGGATGGCACGCTGTGTGCAGGGTGCTCAGCCCACACACGGGAAGCAGCCGGAGAACCACAGCTACCTGTGTACCCTGCCTTCTCCTGCTCCCATCCCCTCTCCTGAGGAATAAGTCTTCCTGGGATTCTTCATGTGCCGCCTACTTCTGAAACTGGGAGGATTTTAGTCTCACTTTTCTTCATATGGAACGTCCTGCCTCAGTGCCTTTTGATTTGAGATCTTTATTCCCCTCTGTCCTGTACCCGGATGCCCTCCCTCTGTCCGTCCTGGTCAGGGCCTTATCTCTGAAACCCCTCTGTCCTGCATCAGTCCACTCCCACCCTTCCCTGTCCCACCCTCTGTGCTTCAGAACCACATCCCCTCCCTGTGGGGCCCTAGTTCTCACCCCAGTAGAGGACGATGTCCTGGCCTCCAAGGCTGCTGTGTCTCACTCGGCAGGTCAGGCCAGCTGCCTCCCCAGCCGCCACGTCCAGGGTCACTCGGAGATACCATGTCTCGTCAGCATTGGGCAGGACGTCCCCTTGCTGAGCGCCCGGCTGCTCCTGCTGCCCCCGCATCCACCTCACCCACACAGGCTCTGGGTAGAATCCTGAGACGTGGCACACCAGCAGCAGACGGCCAGGGCCAGGAGGGGGGCCACTGGACAGCCAGGCCTCGGGCTTCACTGTATCCAACAAGGGAGTGGGGCCTCTGCATTAGAGGCTCCGGCCCCATGGCTGACTCAGGCAGCCCACAGTCCCACCGCAGGAAAGGAAGGCTCCTGTCACTTCATCCATTTGTGTTAGGGTCTCCCTGACCCAGTCTCCTGTAAACGCCCCTGCCTACACTCCTAGAGCACCCTGTGCTCAGCAGTAACATACCCAAGTTTCACACACTGCTTTACTGCTTGTCTTCCCATCCTGCCCCTCAAGCAAACATCCTGTTTGACCCCAGTGCTTATTTAACTGAACTCACAAACCCAAAGGTTGCTCAGTGAATACTATGGAATGAATAAATGCCCTCAGGCCTTAGCCATCCCCTCCTGAGCCTTTCTCTTCCAAGGCACAAAGGAATGGAAACCCTAGAATGGGAAACCCAGATGGAGCCCCACAGAGGAGGGATGGGGGGTCGGGGGGAGACAAGCAGGCTGACCTTGCTTCTCCAGATCCTGCTGTCCTGCTTCAAGGAGTCCGGTGACTAATTTGGGGCAAATGTCACTGATGAGCCACTCTACTGTGTCCCTGGTGTATTGGTCCTTGTTGAACTCGTTGCTGAGCACCTCGGCCCAATGTGGGGCATCGGGGGCTGGCACCCAAAAAGTTCCCTGGAAACTCAATAAATCGCTTCCTTGAAATGCTGAGTTGAAGAAGCTTTTTAGGGGGCTTCCAGGGTGCACCTCACACCCAGCGGACACCTGGACCACAAAGGGATCTGAGGAGAGGAACGAAAGGAGATCAAAAGGTTTAACAGGTGGGAACAACCAAAGAAGACATGGATGTGAGGGCTATACCACCCAAAGCTCCGGGAAATGAGAGGGGGTGACCCAGGGCAGGGGGAACCAGGGATATTTTGGGGAGTCAGTGGCTGGGACCTTCCTGGCAGGAGTGGAAATGAGAACATCCCAGCCAGTGAGGCCAGAGTCTCCCAGCTGGGCCTCTGCCTCCGCTGTCTCCCCGCGGACAGCTGCCCAGGGACCCATCCCTCAGCTCACAGTCCAAGTGCAGCATTTTGGCGAATTCCCGGATCTCCCTGGTGAAGCCGCTCCGGTACACCCAGAACACTTGCTGCAGCTGCTCCCACTGATGGTCGCTTAACTTGCCCTGGGACCAGGGCCTCAGGAAGTGGATGTCCGAGCCATTGCTCCAAGAGTGGGTCTGCAGCGCCCCCAGCCAGGCGGAGCCATCGGTGCGCGTCCAGCTGCTGTTGGCAAAGGGCGAGATCTGGAGGCAGCGGAGGTGGGCGCTGCTCGGAGGCGCGGGCAGAAAGTGGTGATCGGAGGGGCCGGGAGAGCGCAGAGCTTAAGGAGAAGGAAGAAAACAAACAAAACTGATGGCCTTGGGCAGGAGGGGTGGTGTCGTCCAGCTTCCCGGCACCCCGCACCCCTGGAGCCGGGATCCGGGAGCTGAGGCCCGGAGCCCCAAGTTCTCGGCCCTGGTCGCCCGGGAGCTCGCGGCTTAGCTTTCCGAGTTGCAGGCGCCTCCGTCCGCCCCCTTCATGCGTCGCCCCTGTTCCCAGCCCAGCTCCCTCTTGCTGTCTCCCAGACCCATGCCCAGGCATCCTTGCTCCACTCACCCTCCGGACTTGCCCATATCTGGGGGAGACCCCAGAGCAGCAGAACTGGCCAGCACTCCATGTTGCAGGGCTCCCAGCTCTGGCTCAGACCTCTGGCCCCGCCAACGCCCCGCC